AAATAAATATCAACTAAAAATTGATAGCATTGAAGAATGTGTTTGGGGGCAATGAATGCACAAATGTGCTTTACACAATTGATGTATGTATGGATTGTGATAGGAGTTGTATGAGCCTCTAATAAAACGATTTTTAAAAATAATAATATAAAAAAAGAAGAATGTGTTTGGGTTATTATGTTGGCTAAGAGTATTTGATATTCATGGACTTCCAAACGAATGAGCAAATCAGTGTTGTCGGGACAGTAACTGGATTACTGGTTCCTTGAGAGTCCAGCAGGGGAGGCTGGGAAAATGAGGAGCTAATAGCAATGAGTACAAGGCTGAAGAAAATGTTCTAAAACTGATTGTGGTGGTGACTGCACAACTCTTTTTGATGTGATTGAACTACTGAAATGTATGATATGTGAGTAATATGCAAATCAAACTATGGGGAAAAATAAAGAAAGAAGAAAAATACCAGTTTTGCAAGTACAGCCAGAATACTTCTTAGAAATGAGGTGGCTGGACTTCATCTGGCTGACTGGACACCTCATCAGAAAAGATCAATTGCTCAGAAAGGGCAGCCTCTTGGGTAAAGGGCAAGTAAAAATGAAGGAACTTCTCCATGAGATGCACTATTCCAATAGCTACCACAGTGGCCTCAAAAATACCAACAATTGTGAAGATGGTGCCAGATTGTGTAGTGTGTTGTTTAGTTGTACATCTAGTCTCCATGAGTTTGAGCCTACTTGACAGACAACGAAATGTCTGCTTCTTTACATAAGAAACACATACTCGTTCAATGCATTCTACACTCATCCATCCCATTCACAAAGATGGACATACTCCGCACTGCGTTTGGTGTGGTAGCTCCATCCACCACTCCACTATCGCTGCCTATGCAACATCCATTTGCCTTCTTGTCTTGATGAAAACAACATCGTTTACACTCAAGTGGCAGTGTGCCCTGTTAAAAATGATCCACCAAGGAGCTGCCAAGTAACTCAGGTCTAGTCAGTAAGGTGTCAGCAGTTATCTGCTTCATGAGCTCCTGGGATAACTTATAGCCTCTTTTCTTTTTCTTTAAATAAAAATAAAAAAGAATCTAAAACTCATCTTTAGTCCACATTGCTTCTCACATTTTTCCTTTCTCCAATTCATAGGCATTGGTTTAAAAGTGAAGAAACCAGTATGAGACCACCCACCACAGACAAGGGAGCAGAAATCTTGAAGGAGCCTGGATCTCTGGCCAGTTCTCAGAGCAGCTGCTCCAGCACTGACTGACCTGCTCACCATCACACTTCCTGTTCGGTGAGGGAAAATGAACTGCTGTGTGGCTGTGCCGCTCCCGTCTGCCTTCTGATAGGTGCAGACCACACGGAGCGGCAACAGTCAGCAAGATGAACTCTGCACCCACCACGCAGAGCCTCACTCTCAAAATGAATGCCCAAGAGTGGCCGGTGATGTTCTAACAGGAAAAACAACGACAAAGGAGAAAACAGAAGCTTGTAGGAGAGGAACAATGCAAAAACATTAAAGGAACCTCCCCAAGCACAGTCTACACAAGTGAAACAAGGGAAGGTGACAATCATCCATGATAACAAAACGCTAAGAACAACCACAAAGACCACCATTCAGAGAGAATAAAGCGCATACTCTATAAAACTATGGAAGCCAAGATCTTAAATACCTATTCGCAGGCAAGGTAGACCCCAAAAACAGACTGAGGAACTGAAAAACTGAAAGACAGGCAAGAAAGCATAGGAAATTATAGACCCAGTCCAGGTTGGGAACAGAATGAAACAAAGAAACTAAAAAGAAGGAAGAAATTGTGAGAAAATAATTTAAGAATGAGCAATACCCAGAATTAAAGAAAATAACTTTCCTTTTTGAAAGGGCCTCGAAGCACCAAGTAAAATGGATAAAAATAATCCCAAACCAGGACATAGCATTGTGAAATGTTAGCACATTCTAAATGAAAAGAAGACCTTCACAGCTCCAAGGAAAGGCCAGAAGCCAGATTTCATGCACAAAAATGAAGGAAACGTTGGCAGCAGAGTCTACAGCAACGCCATGGACTAGAACATAAGGGAACATTGTCCTTCAAACTTGGCTGAGGGAGAATGATTGCCAACTTAGAATTCTATACACAGTCACACAACAGACCATCAGAGAGGGTGGGGGGAAGACAGTGAGGAAATGTAAGGTATCAACAATTTACCTCCCATGCATCCTTTCTTAGGTTGCTAATACAAGTGCTAGGGCTCGAAGCTGTGAGGAGCGGGACCCCGGAAAGCGAGAGTGTGTTTGTATCATGACTCAGAATATATCCTGAGCCCCATACCAAGCGAGCATCCCTGGTCCGCAGGAGCAGCCTCTCATCCCTAGGGAACAAGGCTGACCTGGTCCTGTCAAGGGCTCTTTCGATGCAATCCCTGAGGGAACTGCTGAGCGCCTCATCCCTTTTGCCCCCTCCCGCCTCACTATCTGGAGATGAACTCCACCAGGCTCCTGGGACCTGGGACAAGGTGAAGTCAAAAAGTACTGCTACAAAATCAAAGCTACCCTGATGAAGCAAAAGTGCCAAAACGTGAAACTATGGCTTCTCACTGAATCCTCCATTGAGGCCTATACATTTCTGAAGGAGGTGGTTTTCTCGCTTTGACCCCCACCACCACCAAAAAAAGAATTCTGCATGTTTCCATTTAGACCTCATCGAAATGGCAGTTTGGCATCTTCAACTTGTGTTCCTTTGAAATCCTCTTTGAACACTGGGAACTGCAAGACATCTGAAGGGGCAAGGCCTGGGCAGTAGTATGCAGGGGTAAGGTTTCCCCCGAAAGCCTTTCAGGACAGCTCTGGCTATGCTATAAGTTGCAAAGGAAAAAAATGCGGG